CAAAACAGTCATAGTTGACTAATTTATTTCTGCGATTTACATCATTTGCAATTTAAATATTGACTTGGTTTCTGATATTTTCCATCGTCTTACCAAATACAGAATTGTTCACCAACTTGAACAAGTTTTTCTTAAAGTTGGTCTTAGCAATAGCACGACGTTTGGTATATCATTAATATAATCTGCCATCCACCGTGATTGATTAAATTTTAACACGCGATGAACGTTTTTCAGAATTAGTTCAGCATCTTATGCTTGTTTTATATTTTTTGTAATTTATCACGTAATTTCTTTTATTTTGACAACTTTGGAACCAGCCTATTAACAATCGAGTTTTGTTGCCATTGCCTGTTGTTCAGGCGATAATAAACTATAATCAATCATCATTGACTCAGCACAAAATGGATATTTGTTATGTAAATCATGTAACGAACTAAGTTAATCGAAATCAACTTCAACAAAATAACTGACATTTTCTAGTATTTTTTTAACATTTTTTTTAAGAAAATTATATGGAGTTATCCGTTGAAATCCACCACACGGCATTGATTCTGACATTGCATTACGATACAAATTATTTTGATCCAGATAAATAATATAATTTCACGGTAAATTTATATCGTAATATTTTGGGTTATAACGCTAATTCTACCTCTTTCAGTAAAGTTAAACATATCAACATCAGTGAAGAGTTCCAATTCTCTTCTGCTTGTTTTTAGCAGAGCATTTCATGACAATCCAGGCGCAGAAGAATACTATCATGTCTAACTTTACAAAAACTCTCGAAGATATCTACTAGCAATAGCATGTTTGATTTCAAGTATAAATCATAATGATCACCAAGTGCCTTACAAATTTATTCCAAATTTTATATTTATAATAGTCATCTGTACTATTTTCATTTTTAACTAAGAGTGAAGTTTATCTTTGTTAGGCAGAGATATTTCATCAGATCTGCTCAGTCGTCGACATACTCATTCGGAAAGATCTTTTTGTTTTATCAGAGAGACGTATTATTTACCAAAGCAACTTTTTAACTTTTTCAGAATTAACTGCATTTCAAATATATTCACTCGATGATTAAATTTAGTCTAATGCCATAAACTAATGTCTGAACCAGTAATTATAAACGTTGCAAGAGTATTTTATGATATTTTAAATTCCGCAAAAATGTTGGAAACAAATCACTAGCGGCACGTGTGACACATACTACGAAAATTTTACAATTACAATGATAAATTCTCAATTGTCATATGAAGAAATTTTTTTATTCTTGTTATGCACATGCGTGGACCACAACTAATAAAATCAATAAGAATCTTTGATAATATAAGCATATACTGTCATCCTGACGATTATCTAGAAGAACAAAAACAAGGTGAAATACTATTTAGAAAACATTGCTTGAGCTTGATTTTAAAAATATAGATTTGATAATACGAACAGACCTATTAACACGAATATCACAGGAGGAAATATAAAGGAAAACTATAATCGTCCCAATAAACTAGCGGAATTTAGGAAAATAAGGATAAAATAGAACAAGTATTTATAGAAAAGTTTTTTTTAAAAAAAAAAAACGATAAATTTATAAAGTATCTTGGTGTATACTGCCACAAGAAAAACTAGTTAAAATCGTTAACATAACGGCGGATGTAGAATCAATTATAAAAGCATACTCGAACGTACTTTTACCAATGATGCTAAAAAATACCCAGAATTCAACCCGATTATTGCTGACAGGTCATAAAAAGTAATAAAAGTTTTTGATAATCTCACAGACATTGATCGAGAAAAGTTTTTTGAGGAAGTCAATTCAACAGTATTTGAAGCAATGTTTAATTCTTATTACGACATTAGTGAAGATGATGCTCCACTTCCAACGCTCTAGACAATTGTCATTACGAAATTATTACAATAAAGTCAAGAAAATATTTACAAAACAATACGAAAAAGTATCGCTTAAAGCAAATGCTTCTACTGGTATTACTTATCTTGGACTAAAATCACTCCAAAAATTAATGCTGATAAAATTCTTAGTCGCATATGCAATTATCAGACAATATCTGGTCCTAACATTTTTACTTTGAATCCAAAAGCTTGGTATTCATTGATGCAACAAATAAAATGCGATAAATTGGTGAATGAAATAGATTTTTATGAACGTGAAGTGGAAGACACGATTGATTCCTACAGTTGGTTACAAATGGTGTATTGACAGATAAACGGTACGAGGATACTTCGTCAGATGTTTATGACAAGTACAGAGATTTTATAGGTGACAATAAGTTTCGTGAATTTTTTTTATTCAATTCTTGGTGCCACAGCTTTTGATATTGCTTAAAAATTGTAAGCAAATACTGCATATTGAAAAAGCAAACAGTTGATTTCAATCATATTTCAGATGGAACCCCAAAACAAAATGTGGACGTATTAATAAAACATTGCAAATATTATGATAAAAAAAATTGATGCGTAAAGCGATGTTACAAATACTATAGAAAAATACTATAATATTATATTTGCCGTTGTTAATGACTAGTCCTGGTATAATTTCAAGCGAAGCATTATTATATCAGTTTTTTTGTTAATATCCGGTGTTGGTGTTTCTCTTGCAACGTGTAAAAAAATTGAGCCTTGACTTGAAACAAAAACTGTCTGTATAACCGCGAGTATTACTATTAAAAATTACTTGATCAAATACGATCTTACTTGCGTGGTATAAAATATGACATGAACGACTTAATACGCGAGTTTTATATTATTGACAGTATACTTGCTAACATATATTCTACCAATGAGAATTAGCCGGTATGAAAAAAGTATGGCGATAATAGGGTATGACATTTTGTGTGAGAATAAAAATAATCTATCTCGACTATTCGTCAATACCTAAACGTTTTGCTAAAACCATAAACTCTGTATCTGTTAGATCAATATATGAGTCTGGATCTTTCATGAAAACTTCAATAACCTTATTGAGAAATTTCATATCAGTAAACATTGCAGATAATCCTGTTTCTCTAGTAAAATATTACTAAATATCTTGCAAGAAGTTAGCTTGGCATATATAACGTTATGTAGGAAATTGTTAATGTAATAATTTAATTTTCTAAGTTATAAAAATGAAAATTTAAGAGTAACTTGCAGTATTGTGAAATAAATCCAAACTTATGTTACAAATTCTATCATAAGTTCAAAAGAATAGTGTTTCAAATGAATTTTGACCCTTGCATGTGTAGATGTGCTAAGAATCATGATGTGTTATAATGGCATTGTCAAGAACATCTCTGGGTGAATTCAAAATAGTTATAAAATGTTTTGTTAGTCCAGATAGTCTTATGAGAATTTTTAATTCAGTAGTTTAAATAAATAAAACAGTCCCTTCAAATAAAATCCAAAAGCAGCATTAAATCATTAAATACATCTGCCTGTCTCTCTCTCTCTCTCTCTCTCTCTCTCTCTCTCTCTCTCTCTCTCTCTCTCTCTCTCTCTCTCTCTCTCTCTCTCTCCGTGACGAACCTCACAACTAGTCCCTTCGTGACTTATGTGGCAATATTCACCCACCTGACTGAATCATCCAATCAGATTACTCCAAACCGTAGATAGGTTCAATATATACTACGAATTTAAACTAACGAACATCTCGTCTAATGCTCTAAAATTAAAATCTACAGCGATGGACCAAACGTTAGTCAAACAGAATATAGGCAAACAAAGTATATTAATGGCGTAATCTTGCACAAGATTGGTTAAGCTTGTATTGTGGTAAATAAGCTTATATAATCATCTATATTAGGTGAGATCTGCGCATGTTAATAAGATAGTTTGCATCAACTATATATATATATATATATATATATATATATATATATATATATATATATATATATATATATATATATATATATATATATATATATATATATATATATATATATATACTTGATGCAAGAAAGAGTTTATATAGCGTTAGTACATGAAACCACATAGGACAGAAACCTCCGTGCGAGCCAAATAGACAACACGAGAGAGAGAGAGAGAGAGAGAGAGAGAGAGAGAGAGAGAGAGAGAGAGAGAGAGAGAGAGAGAGAGAGAGAGAGAGAGAGAGAGAGAGAGAGAGAGAGAGAGACTACATATTCTCTTACAAAACTAAAACTCACTGACAACTGTCACTTTGCAGTCATCACTAGATGCATTAATATTTACCATCCACTTAGTCCTCCTCATCCGTCTGGTTTTCAGTCATCAATGGGTGTACTAATATTTACCATCCATTTAGTCCTCCTCATCCGTCTGGTTTTCAGTCATAAATGGGTGTACTAATATTTACCATCTCGAGTCTGGTTTTCCCTCTCAGGATGGTTGAATATATATATAGATTCTTGAAAAAGGGAGCGGCTTTCCAAGAAAGTGTGTTGCATTATAGACGTAATAAAGTGGAAATACACAGCACACATTCCCATTACTAATTGATTAATTAATGTTAATAATAATAATAATAATAATAATAATAATAATAATAATAATATTTTAGCCGCATTTCCTTTTATTAGGCTTTTATAATATTTTCATAGTAAAAATTTAAACATTCTTGAATTAAAGCTTTTCTTTCCACTTATTATTGCATTTATATAAATTAGCACACTTAGCCCAAACACACACAATTTGCAACAATAAATTCACTGTATCCTCAGAGACTATAGTACACCCTCCAGGTTATCGTTATTAAAAACATTAAAAAATCATCTTGGATATAAAAATGGATTTGTTTTAAATGTTTTTAAACATAGCTTTAACAATGTTTCTGTCATATCGCTATGATGTCTGCAGTGTGGCAGATGTCGAGCAATGGGGCATCTTGCCGCAAACATGTAACATGTTGTCCCCTCTTCCCGTCACATAATACTGACACCAGAACGACCAATCTTAAAACTGACTTCTTAATGCTGAGCGCCTAGCGAGGCAGCTGTTAGTACCATTCTTATAAGTTTTTGGCATGATTCGGATGGGGTTCGAACCCACAACCTCCTGCATCCGAGGCGGACGCTCTAAACACTAGACCACCGAGCGGTGCGATATAAAAATGCACAAACCTGAGTCATTTATTGCACGAATTTCTAATTTTTGCCAGGAATTTGCTAAAACTCAACCTACTGGCGTTTCAAACCAAACGGTGGTTTACGATGTAAACAAGCAGAAGATTGTTCACTCTCCTGTTCTGGTTTTTGGTTTCTAAAACAGTCCATCTCAATAAAAACTCGTCTGCGTCCAGTATTTTCAATGTCTAGTTTGATTATTGTTAATGTTACGTATCGGCTAGTTCAAAGTAACATAAAAGAAAGAGTGAAGACAAACTTTGTAAATTTTAACAAAAATAATTTATTTTCCAAAAAAACATGAAATAATGTAAAAAAAATTTAAGCAGGACGTAACGGTTTACATAATTTATCCAAATTTTTGTTTAAACTAGAAATATAAGTTCTGTAAAAAGTTTTAAACACAGTCTGAAGTGTCTAAAGTTCCGGTCCAAAATGGCGGATGACCATAGACAAATAATAAAATATGACTATAAATATACTCAAGAAATGTTGACTGGTATATAGGACACTACAATGACATGACTATAAATGCCACTAAATAAACACGTTTATACACGTTTCTTGCTATCAAGGACGACTCATCTATTGTGTTAGCATATTGTGTTTGACCAAGTATTAACGTTTGACAAAATTGGTCGTTTGAGGGCTTGTGACAGCCATGGTGTTTTTGGACATGAATCGTTGGCGGTACACTAAGGAACACGCTTTGGCAATGGTGCAGACTTCTTACAAAGGATCGATCCCTCTGTGTTCCTTGAACAATTCTCGAAATTTCCACAGCAACGTCGTAAAATGTCCACGTCAGAACGACAATACTTTAACATTTCTTCCTGAAAGTCAAAAGGGTCCAAGGAGTGTCACACAAACAGGATCGTCACACAAGTTGAGTATAGGAATATATACTGGGGAATTTCCACATGTTCTAGCTAACAACAGATGGATGAGAAAAATGAGAACAAGAAGAAGAACAGTGGGGCGCCCCGAGTGGCCTAAAGCGCTGTCCGTTACGGATCACTACCATCTCACCTCTGCGTGGGTTCGAGTGTAGGATTCGGCGAATGTGGATATGTGAGAAAGCTTGCCAGTAGCTTCTCGTAGGGCTGTGGTTCTTTCCGGTGATTTCCCGGTTTCTTCCTCCACCATTAATACTGACCGCCATGAATAGCCTATCGTGTGCTGAAAATGGCGGCATTAAGCTCAACAACAACAACAATAACAACAAAAACAACAACAACAACAACAGCAACGTCGTAAAATGTCCACGTCGGAACGACAATACTTTAACATTTCTTCCTGAAAATCGAAAGTGTCCAAGGAGTGAGTGTGGTACCAAGCGTAGAAAGCTTCTCGTTGTTCGGTACGCATGTTGTCGGGGTCGTAGCAGTGAGCAAATGTGGTAGAACGGCGTGTTGATTGGCTTCAGTATTGAAAAAGTGCGGAAAATAGCCTTTGGCCATTTCTATCATTACAAACGTTTTAGGCTTTCGGCTCAAAGGCATGGCTAAGTAACTCATCGAACCTTTAAACTGCACATTTTCCACTTGCATGGAAATGATTTGGCTCCGTTTAAAATGATTTTAGTACGTTCAGTGCTTTGTTCCGTATAATATGTGAGAATAAATTGCCCATCGTATTCCGAGAAATTGTGAGCCATCACCGTGGTAGAGTGATGACAACCTCTTGGCTCTCGTCGATGGGGTCTATGATCCATTTGGGCAAAATCGGTCAGTGTGTTAGGTCCTCCAAAAGATTTTTTCACGCCCTCCAGGAATCTTGCTGCAGTGAGGGCAATGACTTTTGTATGCACTTCTCGCACACTCTATGAGCAACGCTGAAATTAAGACTGTGAATATCGGTCTCTTTCATGCATTCGAAATAGAGAAAGATGAAATTGCTTTTTTCTGGTCATCTTCCTCTTGATATTTGGAATGGTATTTTTTAATGTAGCATTCGTGTTCCAAGTCCTAAAGTGGGCTACATATGTGACATTGTTTCTTTCTTCGACATACATGAGTCATAGCATTATTGGTACGTATGTCTTTGCCCACAAGTTGGGCACAATCTTAGCAATTAACAAACACTTTTCAGCCTTAAACGTTTCAAATATTGTTGGTAATATGTAGGGCTGACAAAAGTGCGTTGACCACCTGAGTAATGCACCCGTTCTTGTCCTTGGTCAGGACAGTGTTTAGAGCCAAATATCCCTCACATTTCGATTCACAATGCTTGTGTTGCTCTTGATTCTTATAACTATAGTCACATTTCTCACAGTAATAACTGCATCCCAGGAATCCAGAAATATTGGCAATAGCAAAAATATTCATCGTGATAATAGACGTAAATGTATTTTCCATCTTTGAAATTTTTGCCTCGAAACAACAGTCCGCGGACTTCTTGAGCATACACTTCCAAGGTCTAGCGTGGAGCCAAAACATGATGCAATTTTTGCCTTTCAGGAATGTCACTGGGTGTGTCTTTGGATAGCTCGGGCTGCTGAAACAGGAATTCTGCCTTTCCTCGTTGTTTGGCTCGGACCGATTGTTCAATAGTTTTCCAGGCTCTTTCCCATTCTGCCGCGTCGTTCTTGTCGGCATTCGTTCGTCCTACCACGATGGCATGGGCTAGACACATTTTGCATTGAGGGTTACTGGAGTTTTATTATTTCTGAATTTTTTCTATACGAAAATGGAAAATACCTAACCACGATTAATTATCTGTCGTATGATTCACTTGTCGTTTAATATAAAAAAAAAATAATTTTGGTTTAATTCAGGGCCGTATATTATTAGAAACATATTAATAAAAATAGTTTTTTCAATTCGTTCTTTATTCTTGTAAATATTTATGCTAGTTCTACATTATTTTATTTCTAATCTAATTGACCAGTAAAACTAATATGTTTGAATGGGCAATATATACTATTTTATCAGTAAGTATTTACGAAAAGCAACATTTTCAAGTATTAACACATCACCACCTGCTTCCATATTTCATGCTATTGGGTATTGGAGCATGTCCTCACGGAATTGTGTATGCAATCAAATCATTTCATTTCAGAAAGCCCACTGTACTTTATTGATCTGCTGAGATCTTTCAAGTACAGACCAAATATGACAGTAGCCGACATTGCACGTTTAATCGCGAGTCATGGTAACAAAACACAGAGAAACTTCTTTCATTCGAACGAGGGTAGTTTGGCTCCTTTAAATGATAACAACATTGCGATGGCGAAAAATAAAGAACCTATTTTGAAATTTCTCTCCAGCATAACTTTGGGTTAGAACATCAGATTATCAATACAACCAGTGGCTCAAATGAGTATTGTGTTATTTTTGATTGGTTTCACGAGAGAAATACTAGAGAAGAAATTGAAATCATGCGCAATATTTCCCTTCTCAAAGGATTTCTGATAGCCAAATACTGGAACAAAGATTCAGCTCTCTAAAATGAGATTTTTATTTCCTAAACCAGATATTACTAACATCTCTCATGTTTGTCCTTAGACTGTTAATACACCTAGAAAATCAGCTTTGCAACAAACATGTCAGGGACAAACAACTGAAGTCATTCGGAGGTTAGTTTTGTTTAAATGAACATGGACAGCTATCTTTTCGCTATCAGTTCTCTTTGAGAGCGAACATTCCTTATTACTATCGGTACTCGGTGGTTCCTTTGACGAATGGACAAGTGGATGATCAGTTTCAAAATCCAATAGAGCTAGTAAATTTCCTAATCAATCCAGGTAAACCACAATCGGGTCATGGAGAATATGTCTCTTCAGACAACTTAGAATATTTGCTCACACAGACCAGTAACATCTACAGTGATGTGAGAAATAATCGTCTTCAAACACTGCAGGAGAATATCAGATATATTCTTACATCATTCAACGACTTGTCATCAGCACAAATTGAGAATATAAAACATAATATTAAATATGCCAATGATATTTTATTCAGAAGTGATGATTTTAAAGATGGGTATGATTCAGTGACAAGGAACGACTAGTTATTGTGGACTTTAGTACGTTAATAATGCGCTTGACCAATGGAAGATGATGTTTTTTTTTTTTCTCGGCAACAATAGAGAAAATGTATCTGGTGGCTGATCTGCTGTGAATAGGCATGGCCCAAAATCCAGCACTTGGAGTAACTTCGCCACTAGAGGGCACTGAGAGATCAAAAGGAGTTTTACTCAGTTGAGGTGATCGAGGCTGGCCTGGAGATACGTAGTTTTCAAAGTATTAGAATAAATTCTTGTCATACAGTGGTTGTCACGGGAGCTTTCAAGTTAGTCAAAAATTAGTATTGCAAGCTTTGATTTAGTTAGTTTTGCTTTCTGTTTATATGCTTTCTTTATAAGTTTTTTTTTGTATTTCCACTTTGTGTTTAATAAACTACTATTATTAATTAATATGTAATAAAATGACAATTCGTGAATATTATGAAAGTTTATGTAAGCAGAGATTGATAATAAATGAATAATATGTAAATAATATGTAAGCAAAAGTCTAAGACTAATCTTTTCTATGAGTAACTATTATTTGTATATGATATCAATTACGTTTCCTAAAATATTTGGCAAATATACAATTTCTTCAATGAAAAAAAATTGTTGTTTATCTAAACCTATATATATGTAATGATGTACATAATACAGACTCCGCAAACACTTATATCTTACCTGACTCATACCAGACACATATAACATGAAAATGTAAATCTTTCTTAGTATTTCTTTCGCAAAACCGGTTTCTTCATTATGCTATTTTGTACTTTGTATCACAGATACAGACGCACAAAGAAAAGAGATACATATTAAGAAAGAGGATATTAATAACTTTCGGAAATTTAGCTTTTCGTCATTTGTCAGTCATTAAAACAAATTTATTATCACTACTTCTCCTAATCTATTAGGTCAATAGCCAGTAAAATGACTGCTTATGGTGTCTGATTTGTAGTAAAGGAAAA